ATTTTGTGTGTGTGTGTGTGTGTGTGTGTGTGTGTGTGTGCGCACGCACGTGTGCATGCACACGCTTGCATATGTGGGCATGCATGTATGTGTGTAGGTCAGAGGACAACTTGCAGGAGTCAGTTGGTCCTTTCCTTCTACCACGGGGATCCAGGGATTGGACTCAGGTCTTCAGGCTTGGTAGCAAGTACCTTCACCTGGTGAGTCATCTCCCTGGCCCTGGTTTTCATTCTATAAAGTAATTTGCTCATTCTCATATCTAGTAAATGGAAGAAATAGGGCTCAAACATGGGCCTGTATGATTAGATGAGAATCCAAGGTGTTGATCATTTTGTGTGAATTTGGTACTGCATGTATCCAAGGTGCATGATACGAGTTGTTCTATAGGCAGCAGAAGCAATCCACCTTCAAAGGGAGATCATCTAGATCCAATTCTCCTTTGCCTCCTTCTTTCTCTCTTAACTAATCATCATGCATCCATTAGTAAATGATCTCAGTCTTCCACCTTTCATGTGTCTCAGCTGTAAAATGGAGCAATAAATACCCCTGTATCTGGTTGGAAACTGCTGGTGGAATCATCTGCCTCTGATACCCTTCTAGGTTTAATCTCTATAATTACTCAACTACTGTTCAAGTTGCTAAACACCTGTCTCAGTATTTGCCTGAATTCAGGTCTTAAATAAATAGCTGACATCCAACTGTTGTCCCAGAGTTTAGGATAGAGTCAGTCATCAAACAGAAGTCTCTAGTGGAAAACAGGCAGTGTTGAGACTTGAAAAAACAAAGATCAATCTGAAGAAGTTCAAAGAGAGGTTGAAAATGGTACTTTTCTAGTGAAATGCACCCATGTTAAGCTGAAGACTCAGAAAAGTTCTTTTCATTTTATTTTAGGTTGGACTGACTTTTAAGAAAACAATCTTGGGAGTGTTTATTTTATAACTCTTAACAGCGTCCAAGAAAATGTGAACAGCCAAACTCTGAGGAAGCACAGTTGTGAATAGAACTCATTTTCAGTAAGCAGAAAGACCTTTCCTGTCCTGAACTTACATAGCTGTAGTGATCCCCCATCCAAAATAAGGACAAAAGAGATTCTCAACTGAGTAGGGCCTCTGGTGTAGGAAGTTCTTTTTCTAATGCCGCTTCCTAAATTGGACCGTCCGAAAACACATTCGTGACTGCAAAATGGGAGACAAAGCCATATTTTGTAACTTTTGATTAGGATGTAGCCCTGAGTATGATCTGATGGTTTGGGGAAGAGGCTGCTGTTTGAAACAGATGAGGGCAAACTGCAGTTTGTGTTTTCCAGCTGTTACAGTCCCTAAGGACAGTGTTTTTGCTCTTTTTGTGAGCTCTGTGGTATTTAAGCAGCTTTAACTATGCAGTCATTTCTTAGAGCTATGCTACTACTATTTGAATTTGTCCAAAATGATTTTAGACAGTTAATGAATATTGTGCATATGTGCATGTGTACTTATGTGCTACTGATACCTTAAAGGCAGAGAACAGAGCTGGAAATGCGGGAAGTGGTAACACTATCAGTTCTTGATGTATATATGCTCCCATTATTTTAAATTGCATTTCAATTCTTTACAAAGATATTAAACTGTAACAAAAACACCTTTATATTTTTTATGACATTTAGGTGGAACATTCAACAATGCTCATTATCATCTAGATTTGCATCCTATCCCTAGACTGCGTCCAGTTGATCCAGAAATGGACAAGCTTGGGCATTTGGAGAGTTGAGAACTGCTACCATGTCTTTGTAGTCACAGGTTAAGGCCATTATTGTAGAGAGGTGACTGTTCCTATTGGTTCTGCTTGCATTTTGATCTGATGTCATCACATTGCATGAGCCTTCATTAGGCCCCAACTTCACTCTCACACTGTCTTCAGCTTTGGGTCTGCCTGATCAGCCGTCCTTTCTGCTCTAGCTTCTGCTCTAACTGTATAAGGTTCTGGACATTGCTTTTGAACAATGCACTCATGGTAGACGCTGTTACAGGCTCTGCCAACCAGAAATGCCTCCTTGACAAGTCACCTCTCTCAAAGCCAGACTATAGTGCAGTTTCCATGACTCCTTTGCAAACAGGGTGGAGGAAAGATATGGATTCCTGTGATCTCACTTTTGGAGGTAGACCTTTGCTATGGGAGACTGATATTTTAGAAGGATTAAGATGGTAGTAAGGTGCAGAATGTCTTTGAGGGAGGACAGTGGAATCAATGATGCCAAACTGGAATTTTATTGCTTTGGTTTAGAGGGATGATGAGAATGATGTAATTTCTCACGTGACTGAAATAGATGGTGATGGAAATGAAGAATGGGGAGGGTGAAGTGTTTTGAAGGGGACAGCGAGGTGATTTTAAACATCCAATGAATCCAGATAACAATATCTTTAAAATAAATGTACTAAAAATAATGGCACATAAGTACAAATTTCGCTGGTACGCAGTGTAGCAGAAAGAGCCTGAACCAGGGGAGGGACTTATCTGAGGTCTCTATTCTTACCCTTACTAGTTGCATATCCTTGGAGCCCCTCACTTACAACTTTCCTGCTAGTGTTTCTTGCACTGAGGATAACACCTGCTGTGTCTACCATACATGTGAGGAGAACATGTCACAAGCACATCCACATTTTGGATTTCTGATGCGGTAAGCAAGGCATTTGGATAGATTCAAGGACGTTTCTGAATGTGACGGAAAGAACAGAGCCCTTCTGTAATCACCGCACCTTGCTCACTTCAATCTTTGGCTGTGCGTGTCTCTCTTGGATTTTCAAGGTTTGGTCCTTGCAGTCAAATTTCTGGTCTTGGTGACATATGATGTCCAGGGAGCAGTCGTGACATCAGGATTGCCTATTCAGGCAGGGTTTCTCTGAGTGAGGCAGCACACTGCCCTCAACAGAGAACTCTGTTTATCACTTTGGAGATGCAATAAAAATAACAAATGTCCAGAGTAAACCTAATTCACTATGCTACTTAGTATTTGAAATACATAAATATGTCAAGCAAAAGACCTCTAATAGACCCTTTTATCCTGGTAATAGTGTACATATAATTTTCCTCTCATTAGTACAAAAACTACCTAGGGAACTCTCTGCCCATCCTTCATCCATTTAATCTGCATTAGCTTACTTTTACCTTGTGTTTAATCTGCTTTCCCTCAAGGTATTTTGAATAAATCAATAGGAATACATGATTGTTTAATGATTTTTAGAAGAGCTCCCTTCGACCACAGCTGCATGATTTAGAATGACTAATTCCACTTTTTACAATTGATCCTTCCCTGTGTGGACCATCTATTTCTGCCAGCCTATTGTGAGAGAATTCTCTAGCAGACTGCTCTCTATTCCCGGGGCTCCTGGAGGGGCTGGCTGCTGTACTGGCTGGCAGGGCCCCTCCCTCCTCACTACCTGATTAAGCATCACATAAAGGCCCACTCAGTCCTTGCTCAGCTGCTGTTTCTCAGCAATTTTCTGCAGCTCATATGTGTCCAATCTCAATACTTCTTTCCCCCATTTTTCTTTAAGCCATGCATGCCTGAGAGCTGGACCCTCTTTCAAGTATTTTGATGGAAGAATGGGTAGACATGTGTCTAAATAGAAGCAGTTCATTTGAATGATAGCTTGTATAGGTTATCCTTGTTCCGTGTGTGTGTGTGTGTGTGTGTGTGTGTGTGTGTGTGTATGTGTTTACATGTATGTGTGTGTGTTTGTAATTTATGTCTGTTGGGGAGAGCGTGTGTGTCATCCTGGGACTCCTATTTGATTTAGTCAGTTTTTGATTGGTACTTGAGAGGCTTGTTTCAACTTGGGTCAGTTCCTTGAATGTTCTGAGTCAGGAACTGTGGATAGTATTGGGCCAGGGAAGCAGAGAAAGAGCGGCAAAAGCTAAAAGAGAGAAGGGATGATGGCTGTGAAGCCCCTCTAGGGCCCTGAGACCAATTTCTGCCTTCCTGCCAATTTGCCAGCCCTGCTGCTTGTCCTTCTAGACCTGGTTGTGTTTCCTTTCTTTATGATTCTATTCTGTTTTCTAATAATAAATCTCTCTTTTGTGCTTATGTAAGTCTTGTGTTTCTGTCACATTAACCCAAGGAAGTTTAATTACAAGAGAGTAATGTTCATTGGCCTCTGCAATGGTATGAGACTTCATTAATGCATCATATTGGGCTAAATTCCTCTTTCTTGTCAATTCATGAGGGTATTCTTGGAGAC